AAAGTAAAAAAACGGATGTGTATTTTAGTTTTTATCCACCAGATTCTTAGTTACATTTGTAGTAGAGATTAGAGGAACATCCTCTGTTATCCATAGGATTCATGGCTTATTATGGTGATATTGACTTGGCATTGAAATTTAGATTAAATACTAAGCGGGCATCAAAATCATAATTTACTGTGGAATGGCAGTAGGAAGAGCTTTATTTGACTCCCAATTCCTTGACCTCTTATCTTTCAAAAGGCAACCAGAAGCAAGCATACAATTTATGGATGAGGAGCTGTTCCTCATTTACTCTGAGCAGGTTGTTTCCTGGGGCTAAGGCTTGGCCTTGATCCTTCTCGTCTTCTGACATGTTGCAGCAGATGCTTAATAATAACGTATTGATTTCCAGAGCGCCATGAGTTAGCAGAGAAGAGAACAAAATATTTATTTTTTGTAGAAGGCTATCAAGCATTTAAATGTGTATTGTTTATGCCTCAATAATCTTCCCAGATTATGTGGGATTCTTCCTAATACCACACACACAGATGTGATTGTAACCTTGTCTCAGACGCTCTTCATCCAAACTAGCAGATGTTGAGGGATAAAAAGTATTCCACATCATTTTCTGTCGTGTTGCAGAAGAACCTAAACCTGCAGGTATCAGTCATTTAAAGACATTCATTTTTTCCCCCTTTTCTTTTAGACTGAATCTTGAGTAGTCACATCCACAAACAGGTGTTTCTTGGTGTTTAAAGAGTTTGGTGGGAAAGGACACGGGTGAGAGCGAGGGTGTTCACAACTGTTTCTGTGTGTTACAAGACCAGGCAGGTCTTGCCTTTGCGTGAGGCTTCACTACTTTGTGTGTCTGAGCCCTTTGGAGATGAAGGCTAATCCACAGGATTAAGAAACAGCTGTCATTTCTAACCCTCATAAAATGGCAGTCATCACAGCGGAGATCATTGATGTCCGGGTCGCTGATGTTGTTGGTTCTTTCTTTCCGGAGGAATAATGAGAATAGAATAGCGCGTCAACAGGTGCACTCACTGTCCTTTGTCTCGCACAGACGCAGCCAGTGCATATGGACACAATCATTTGTTTTGGGTAGATATGTGCTTTTGTGTGATGTCCGTCACACACCCGACCTTTCTTGAAACATGAACCCTGTCTCTGTCACTGTGCTTTGTGGGTGTGACTTTTTAGGCCTTGTCATCACTATTTATATCTGTAGAACTCAGTTTTATAGATCCAGTGTCTTCATTTTTTAAATTATTTAAAAAATAAAGTGCACCGGATTGATGCACTTGATTTTAACATTAAAATTATAAATCCAATCCATCCACCACAAAATCCTGTGGGATTTAGTGCAATGTGAAACTGAGATTAATGGTGAAAGAGCCGCACTATTGGTCATTTTAAAATGAAAAATTACACACACTTTTAATGTTAACTATGGCCATGTACGTACTCACACACAGGCGGACATATGTATGCCTCATCAATACCCACTTCATCCACTAAACAAAAAGATGGATAACTTAAGAATGAACACAACATATAAAAGACTTTGCCCACATTTCAAGTTGTCTTGCGGCAATGTTTTGTGTCCTGTGTTAAAAAGCTACATTTTCACGTAGTGTCTTGTGCCAATTCAGCACATCCTGCACATGAGTAACTTAAAATACATAAATCATTATTAAGTAAATTAAAAAAACATTCCTTTATGTCTATATGAACATAAAATGGTCTCCCCACCATCAAAATTCAAAACACAGGACTGGAGACAATTATGCCAACTGGTAATAATGGCCTTAAAAAACACTCAAATTGAATATTAAATTGAATATTTACTTCATCACGTTTGTAAACACAGACTGAAATCCCATACGAAATTTGGCCGAAATATTGAACACATTCACAGTTTCAAGCTAAATCTCTTCTGTTAATTTATGGGGCTTCTTCAAAACAACTTCCCCGACCCACTTCAGGCCTCCGAGATTATCCCGTCGACTAATTACCAGCTTAGTTCAGGCCGTAGAGCACAGCACTGCTCTCTTATTCGCCTCTCTGCAACAGTGATGAACATTGTGCCGGCGTGGAGGACGGTGCGAGGAGGTCTTCTCGAGGCCTTGGCATTTGAAGGGAGGAAGCTGGGTGTGACTGTTTGTCGCCGCGCTGTCTCTCCCTGCGCGGCTAGCTGTGGAAAACTGATTAAGCTCCTGAATGCCACTCTTTGTCGCTCTGCTCTTCTGCAATGGACGTGTTTCTATGGTGACTCTTGTTGATGTCCTCGCTTTTGGCACTCAAACAGACTACATAAGAATTAATAGAAATTCTGGTTTTGATGTCATTTATTATAATATCTGCATGATTTCTGAGAGTGGGACGTATTTGGGGAAAAAAAAGGCTAAGTGAGCGGAGTTGTTTTGAGGAAATATGTAGTCTCATGATCTGTGTTATGATATCTGGAACTTTTTGTTATAGCGTGACAACTGTCTGCGTGCCAGGCCAGCTCTGTTTTGTAGTTGAGGCTTCGCATGTCATTTGATAATTATCTGTGTGCCAGCAAACAAAATAAAGCTTAGCGGCACTTAAACGGGAGGCACGCCTCGAGAAAATTCCACACTAGAAAAGGTAACTGTTATTAAAAGATGGACGAGCCGTGACGTTAGTGGTGAAGCGCTGAAGGAGCATAATTTAATGACCTCAAACACCTGTTTACATTTTTTAACAAAATGGATCACAGGCAAAACCAGTCTGTGTTTGTATTTAAATGAATGGCACACGGCAGTGGATTATGATATTGAGAGTTAAAGCTACATGCATTGCAATGTTTTGGTTGTTTAGGTTCTGAGGGGAAATCTGAGCTGCTTCACACTTTGACCTTAAACTTTAAACCTGTACAGAGTAAAAGTGCGGCGCTCCTGCGTAATACTGGAAGCACAGGTTTGATGTGCATGCGTCTGATGTACATCACACAGCTGAAAGAGACGCTGTACTGCATCATTAATTAATTACTGTTAATACATTACTAATTCAAACACACCACGTTTTTTTTATATTGAAGAAGCTATTGTTATAGGAGTACCAACGACGAGTAAAACGTTCCGAAAGCAGCTTCAAAGCAAACATGTTGCTGAAAATCCACATTCTTGTTGTTTGGCTTCGTAGATCAATGCAATAGTTTTGACGGCATCCCTCAGCAGTGTAGTTGCACGCTTGAGCGCTTTGGTGAGACAGCCAGTAAATTTGCATAATTACACAGTCTCACATTTGATTGACATCTTCAATTTTAAGAACGAGTTGCCCAAGAACCTATGTCGCCCAACCCAGTCTGTTTAAGTTGTGTACTTTGGTAAACCAAAGTTTGCGTATAGAATTTGTCTAAAGGCCGGCGCTCTCTCGCTTAGTCCCAGCGGACTAACAGCACCAACACCATCCATCACTGCCGGCATCGTCTGCATGACAGCGAAGCTCGTCTCTCTGCTCTGCAGTGGTGTGTCAGCCTGTGTGAAGTTTGTGCACATAGTGTTGTGTGGCTCCCTCGCTGAAATCTTTCCATTTGTGATTTCCAACATTGTTTGAGAATGTAATTGAATCTTGAATGTGGCCCAACCTAAGTTATTGTTGTGATTTACAGTGCATACTTTGGTGTGTCCTGCTGTCTGTACGTCCACACTTTGATTTATCTCATTCCACACACACACACACACACACACACACACACACACACACACACACTGCATATTTGTACAGACATTTTACCCAGTCATTGTTGGAATATGCTAAGCATTTCTTGGGTTTCTTTGAAAGTTCTTTGTAATAGAAATGTATTTGTGAGCTGTGCAGAAAGACAGAAGAAAAATAATCTAAGAGATCTGTTTGGGGAGGAAATGCGTCATGACAAAGGCTCGGGGCAGGGACACCTTTGCTGTTACTCACCACAGGAGGGTGAGACGTCGATGGAGACGTGAAGTCGGAACCCACAAATTATGCTGGCTTTTGGTTTGTTTAACATTCATGGCAATTTAACAACCACAATGCTAAGGTCAAGAGTACAGGCCCCTGAAAATGTATGTATTTTATGTTTATATTTTAATGCATGTTAATGCATTGCATATTCTCGTTGTCTTATTTGAAACGCAGAGAAGGGAGAAATTGTCATTGAATAAGAAAGCCGCAAACACTTTTTACATTTTTTTTTCTGGATTCAAGGGGGCCTTTTCAAATGTTTTGTTTTGTCTGATCAAACCCTAAGATGTTCAGTTTTAAAATAGAAACTGTAAGAGAAAACCGACTGAGGCTTTGAAACACATGTTTCCATAAGATATTTTGTAATTATTGATCGGTTACATTATATTTTCAGCCTTCTTTTCTTTTGGCTTCAACACTGAAGACACGTGACTGTTTTACTGGTTGGAATATAAATTATGCCTATTGAGAGATTACAGATGGATAACATCCAGACCTCTGCAAGGATTGTTTATTTAATTCAAATAGCTTCAGGGGAAACACCAATTTAACAAAATCATTTCTGTGGCTATATTCAGATAACAAACTGGGCTTGAACAATGAAAATCTGCACGCAAAAAAAGAAAAAAGGAAGAACCAAATTCTTAAAGCCCTACTAGCCTGCTATCAACAGCGCAGTCTATTTCAGACATGTTCTCCCATGTCCTCCATCTATCAATACCCCGGAGCACAGCATGGAAATGAAAGTGCACAAAAGCTCTGGTCCTCTGAGAGAAGATGCCTCCCTCCTCTTTACAATGGAGACACACTGCATTAAAATCATAGGGACGGAGCTGGGTGTAAATGGGCGCACGTGGTTTGTGCGAGGCAGGATGGAGGGATCCAAAAAGAGAGAGAGGGAGAAGGAGAAGGAGAGAAAGAGAGGGAGAGACACGCACAGACTTCCCCTCGGCCCGTTCTTTAGAGCTCACTGGGTCGCCCCGCAGTGGCGGCTGTGCCCCGAGTCATTGTCGCAGGCTTAGAGGGTCTGTTTGCAAAGTGAGAGGCTTTCGTGTGACATATGTCATTTGAGTGAGTCTCCCGTCGCTCCTTTAGCCGCATGAGTAGAGGGGCGGGCAGGGAGGCGTGTCTGTGCACCACAAGAGGAACAACGTGAGGTTCAGGAGGAAGGACATGTCAGAGATGTTAGTTCAGAGAGAGTTGTCGGAATGATCCCTTGTTGGTCCTTTCCTGAACTTTTTTTATGGACTTGTAGTGCAGCAGACTTTGGCCTCTGCCTGAGGTGGATTTGTAATGTAGAATGACTCAAAAGCCAGTAAGTATTGGTTACTTAAAGAGTATGCTGCCATTAGTCACTTTCTGTATTTACTGTATATGCGTTTGAATAGAATAAAGCGTAATTTCTGCAGCTAGAACTTTGATTCGGTCTGTAGGGGTTCTGGTTGGTCTGAGGATATTTCAACTTAGCTGTAGTTTAGAGAAAGGGAGGGGGTTGTTGTACACAGTGTGTGTTGGCAAGGATTAGGCCTCGTCATGTAGTAGTCACACTCTTAGCGCCTTGGCCAACTGTTGGTTTAGGAAATGCAATCCCTGCGGATTTGTGGCCATGATCTGCCATGTGTTCAGGTAATAGATCCCTCGGCTCCCAAAACAAATGCTTTACGGTCTGTTTGCATAGGAACTCCACCCCATTTCACGCTCTACAGATTTTACCTTTTAAGTGGACTCTGACGGGTTTGTTAGGTTGACATTAAAGTGGCAGGTTTGCAGATTGCCACGTGCCCAATAAAATGCATTAATCTGCCTCACTTACAAGGTTCTGTGGGCGTGCATCAGGCGGTGGATTTGCTCCGCATGAATAAAAGTTGCCTCTTTGGTCGCGCTCATGTCACCGGTGGACTGCGGGCCTCACACCTAACAAGGACTCCACATACTCGCTCATGTAGTTTCTTATCTTTTCTTTACTCATGCTTCTATAATAGTAGTGCAGGTGGTCTCTAATGCAAGGCTGCATGTGCATGTGTGGCAGTGCACATTTGGGCATGTGTGTGTGTGTGTATCTCCATGTGAATTGTATTATACAATAGCACCAGTGAGATGAGAGAAGCTTACAGCTTTATTACAACATGAGAATGAAACAAACATCTCACCGGCTTTGTTAACCATTCAATCCGGTAGAAGATAATCGCAAAAAAGTCCTCACTGCAAAAAATACTCAATCGCCACAATCTCTCAATTTGTTTAATTGATTCTAAATTCCAGGAGCTTAATCCTGCATCTACTACATAAACCTACATTAACCCTTCTCACTAAGAACCCATGCAGCTTTGCGTCCTTAGAAGAACCCTGAGTAGCCCTCAGTCATTGTTATGCAGCGGACAGTGTGACTGCCGGAGCTCCCTGCCTTCGTTCTCCTGATAGCAGGATTAGTAGGAGGGTGAACCCATTTGGCATCGCCAGTGCTGCCACCACAGTTTCAGCACTGTGAGAACTGAGCCGTGAAACACTGACAGGCTTAGACCAATTTAAAGTCTGCCATCTTGGATCTAGCGATTGTGAAAAGACAACAGCTTTGTGCCGGTCGGGTGTAATGCAAGCATGCCGTGCAATGCCACCGGCCAGGCCTCACAGTTCAAAAGGGTAATCTCCAGGGCGCTGACTCCACAACCATGAGGGACAACTCATTTTAGTCTCCTCAGACATTTTACATGCAGGTTTCATTACAGGTTCTTTAAATTAACCTTGAGCCAGAACTTTTTTATACATGACAAAATATACATGATATTTAATGTGCATTAATGTGTAATGGGCTGAGACTTGATTGTTCTGACTAGTGAAATATGATGATGATTTTTTTGCATCATTTGCAAGCGGTTGCTGTGCTAAGCCTTTTGTATAAATTCAATAAATTCCTCTTAAGCAATCTACATTTACTTACAAAACATCATGAAGAACATTGTTCTTAGCCTGAGGCAAAGCATGGGGCAAGAAACCATCAAAACACAACAGAAAGAATCATTAATGCATTTTAATTGAGCGAAAAGAGAAACACTGCAAAGTGCACGGTTTTGACAGATTTTGGTGTGAAATTTTGGTCGAGCACTTTAATCCCTATTGTGTTTACTTCCACTTGGATGTCAGCAACATTAAGACGTGGCCAGTTTTCTTCAAGTGTGATTATATGCACCAAATAAAAATATATTCATGTTTTAATAGTTACCTTACTCTTTTAGGTCCTCCGTGCCTTACAAATCTAAAGTCTCAAGTCTCAAGCCAATTGATCATCATCAACACTTTCTCTGATCCCCACCGTCTCCACCGGGGAGGGACATGGGGTTGGTGGGGAGCCTGCAGCTTGTTCTGCTTTTGGCCTCGACCTCCACAGCCGCAGGCCTCAACATCCCCCTAGAAGGTACGAGTGTTTATGGTTGAAAAGCATTATTGTAAGTCGCTTTGGATAAAAGCGTCAGCTAAATGACAATGTAATGAGTGTCGCGATAACGAACATGCTTACTTAATCAAACTTAATCTCAAGTGAATATGAAGTCAAATTTCAAGTTTTGATTGAAACGGAAAGCAAAATCTGTTTGGTCCTATATTTATAAGTTGAACTGGTAGCTTAATTTGTAATGGTTCATTTCATCCCGCTCTCTATTTTGACATTTGTCTGAAGTGCGGTCCATTTTTTTAGCCGCCCACTCTGCTTGAATATTAAGGTTAACAGCCGTTTCAACAAATACCAACGCAATTGTTTTGTACTGAATTGTTAATGTCACAAGCGTTGCAGCGGAGGTGTTTTGTTTAGGGCCATGAAGGCATTGCACTCAAGTGCCGGTGAGCTGTTTTAGTTCAGGCACCTTTATTTGTCCGGATTATAGTGCTTCTCAACAGCTTATAGGGCAATGGGAGAAGAATAGCAAAATGCAGGGAATATCTTTTTTTTTTTTGCCGTGTGATCTTATCACAGAAACATTGTCACTAATGGTAACATTTAACACTTTTATGTCCCTTCACATTGCAGTGGAGCAGCCTCCAACCATAATAACTCACACATCTGGCCCCATTGTGGCCCTTCCCTTTGACAACACAATTACTATCAGGTGTGAGGCCAGGGGCAACCCGCCACCGGAGTAAGTGAAACAAACGTTTTGAATGCAGGACGAACAAAATGCAAAACATTCTGAATATTTCATCGCCTGATGGAAACCTGCTGTACATTGTGCCCCGACAGATACAGATGGACGAAAGACGGTGAAGACTTTGTCCCCCCCTACGTGACGACGGACCACCCAGGTGGCACCTTCGAGCTCCACAACAAGGGTCTGCAAGCGTTTCAGGGAAAGTACCGATGCTACGCTTCCAACGAGCTGGGAACTGCCATGACGGAGGAGATTGAACTTCGAGTTCCCAGTAAGTCATCTTTTAGATATAAAGACAATGTATTCAAGGCAAATGCTGGTGGTTGCTTTTCTAGGTCAACATATAAGTGAATGTCCTTTCAACGTTTTCTTGATGTGATTTTCCTTTTGTGTGACGTCGTTTTATTAGGTATGCCGAAGTTTCCTAAGGAGTTCAATTTCCCCGTTGTTGTTAAAGAGGGAGAGCCAATTGTCCTCGAGTGCAACCCTCCAGAAGGCATGGCCCCACGGCAGATTTACTGGATGTCGTCCGGTAAGCCAACTATTCATGCTCGTAATGTAAATGTTGGATTAGCATGTTGGCTGGTGAAGTTTTATTAAAAATCGAAAGGCCAGTCAAGCCGTTTGGTCCCTCTCAGTGGTGCTTTAACTTTTGTGACGTTGATGGGGAACGAGTACAGGTACGGGGAGGGAAACACTTGCAAACCGCTAAGGGATTGTGCGTATTATGGATAGCGTCAAGGACAACCTGAAGTTTCCCCCAGGTGAAAAGAAGGAGCAGGTGCCACGTCGTGCTTTCTCGAAGGCATGCGGCCGTCTTCTAGCCCTTCTACTGGCCATCAGGGAAGTGGCAGTGGCAATAAAAACACGGTCACGGGGAAAGATACACACTTGAGGCCCACAAGTTTCGTCCCGACTCTGCCAAAGAAAAGTAATTTACTGTGTACAAAGTCACCTCGGTTGCGGTTGAAGTGCTTTGTCAAAAAGGGGCTGAGTTTTCTGTCCAAACGCCCTCAAGAGCTCCTCAGCTACATCCAACAAATCTGACTGATGTCAGAGAGAAAAAACAGTCTTTTAGGTGTTTGGGCGGACGGGGCCGAGGAGCAGAGTGAATGAAAACAACTTGAAAAGCATCCCCGTATTAAATGAAGTTTGATGTCTTTGTCTCGGCTTCACGCATTTATTTTTTAGGGATTGTTACACAAGTTTAAAAAATGCTACAAGATACTTTGATCTTGTAGCACGCACCACACAAGCACTAGCAGGAAAAGGTTTCTGTCACCTCGCATCAGTGCCATGTAATAAGAATCAGAGCATTGACTAAACAACCAAAGACTTACGGCGGCGTGTCAAAGGAAACCCTTAAGGACTGTGTACGGGATGACCCAGGAGTGACACACAGCGCCGCTGACCCGTTGCTTAAATAATGGCTCCATGTAAACCAAACACAGTGCACTCTTAAGTTCACTGGCTCTATACAAGGAAACCCTTCTGGGCATTTCCATTAACGTCTAGTGAACACTGCACTCCAGTCTGTTGTCATAGGACCTCTAGTATAGTTTATTGGTCAAATACTTTTTTACTCTTGCTGCTGACCCTCTGGTGGGCATTTAAGACGTTCTGTCCAATTTATGATTTCTTACCAGGCAAAATGAATCTACTGTCCCCATTGACAACATGTTATTGATACCTTTTAATATTCTCTTTTCCAGATCTCAAGCACATTGAGCAGGATGAGAGGGTTTCCATGGGCATCGATGGCAACCTGTACTTCTCCAATGCCTTACAGAACGACAGTCGTGCGGACTACTGCTGCTTCGCGCACTTCTCCAAAATACGCACCATCGTCCAGAAAACCCAAATGGCCGTCGTGGTGAAGAGCTGTAGGTTTACAAAAAACAGTCTGTGTGGCCGTAACCACTTGTTACTCGCGATATCAAGTAAATATCTCTGAGAGGTGAAAAGAAAACGTTATTGAGACCGAGAATCGTTGCTTGTCTGGTCATGTTTAAGCTCCAGGAAAATCTACCAATACCAATATCACTCACACATTATTTTGTCTTTCTTCCAGTGAAACCTGGCAACGAGTCCACTGACGCCGCCGACAATGCCAGTGAGTGATTCACACATCAATGCCTTCACAGAATGAATCAAACTGCATCCTATGTGAACAGGCAGCATGGGTGGTTTCCATGTTGCAAAGAGCTGCAGGTAGCAGATGGTTCAAGACGAGAGCTGGTTATAATCGTTAGTATTGTTTATCTAAACGTTGATTAAAATGTCCACGTTTGACTGAAGAAGACTGTGCTCTGTGTTCATCACAGCTCAAGCCCGCCCAGCGCGAAGACCCAGCCTGTTGCTGCCCTCTGGTGTTCAGACGGAGAAGGTGCTGTTGAAGGGGGAGAACCTGCAGCTTGAGTGCATTCCTCAGGGATAGTATGTACGCGTGCTGCATCAGCACAGTGACTGTACATATGAGCAATGTGTTGTCGTATGCACCTGCTACTGCGTGTCATAACATGTCGTTTCATGTCGTAGTCCCACTCCAACAGTAAAATGGATGAAAATGGGAGACAAGCTGCCTCTTCGGACACAATTGAACAACTTTGGAAAGCTGTTGTTCATATCTTCTGTAGATGAGTCGGATGGCGGGAAATACATGTGTAAAGGCCAAAACCCGGCTGGAGAGGTTGTCCACTACTTTGATGTAATAGTGGAAGGTAGGAACTGACATCTATTGCTTTTTGTTTCAAAGAGACCAGCTGTTGACAGAGGAATGGCAGTTTGGTCTTAAGCCAATCTTCTTAACATCCGCTCATCAGATCCGCCAAAGTGGGAGACGGAGCCTCCTCAAAGCCAGCTGACTGTGATTGGGACTGATGTTCACATCAAGTGCTCGGTCAGCGGAAAACCACCGCCGGACATAACGTGGAGGAGGAACGGGGATTTATTCAGAGGTGAGGGGGAATAAATCAAGCTGTGGTTTTAAGGAGGACAGTCCAGCGAGCAGTCACACACACACACACACACACACACACACCTCCCACAACTTGAACCGCACAACGGAAACCTGACGCCTTCAAAGCTCATCGGTGGACTTGATTCCTTGAAAGGGAATGTTATCAACAGTTTCCCAATCTAACCTGAACACACTGGCACCAGTTGTAGTTATAGTCCTTTAATAAACCCAAGAAGCAAACACTGTTTTGTCTCTTACGGTATTCGTATGAGATGGTTGGTTGTGCTTTAGTCGAGTCGTTGTGAAAGAACTCTGATGACATGTTGTTGTGTGTGTGTGGTGTTGTTGTTGTTGTCAGATGACCTTGGGAGCAACAACAAGCAAGTATTTGATGACACTTTGGTGTTCCTTAACGCCGGAGCACAGGACAGTGCTGTCTACCAGTGTGAAGCCTCCAACACTCACGGCAGTATCCTGGCCAACATTAACGTCATGGTCATGAGTGAGTATTGCAGCAGGACTTGAACCGTGCACGGCCAGCGACAACATGAATACAATGGCTACTTTATCAGGCGGGAAATGCTGTGTTGTTAGCTTAATGGCATTTCACAGTTCCTTCAGATTTAGAGGCGCTTTAAGAGCGCTGTGATGTAAAATAGGTCCTGAAGCTTAGAGGGCAAGCGCACATTCTTGATCGTAACGGTTCTTTACACATCTGTGATATCCAACAGCAGTTTCTCTTGTTTTTCTCACCTTTAATTGTAAACCCAGCGGAGTTAAACAAAGTGTTCAACCTATCAGCCTGCTCTCATTATAGACAATTCATTTAGAATTTCTTTTTTTTCTGCTAATAAGTGTGAAAAAGAAAAGGACCATCACAATTGTTGACATATTTCGATTTCTTGTTTAGTCCAACTACATTTAATACCTTAAGGCAACCAGGGATGCTGGCAAACATTCACATTTTAGAGGATGGAACTGATGGATTCTTGCAAAAACAACCTCCTCTCATCTCTCATCTTCAACTGCTTATGCGGGGTCGGGTCGCGGGGGCAAAGGTTCAAGCAGGGTACCCAAATCTTCCCTTTCCAAGCCACATCTACCAGCTCTGTCTGGGGGATCCCAAGGCGTTCCCGGGCCAGTTTGGAGATATAATCTCTCCATCTATTCCTGGGTCGTTCCCAGGGCCTCTTCCCAGCTGTCTTTACCAGACACTCAAACCACCTCAACTGGCTCCGTTCCACACAGAGCACTTTTTCTGAGCTCCTCACCCTGTCTCTCAGGGAGACGCCGGCTACGCTTATGTGGAAGCCCATTTCGACGGCATGTACCCGCGACCTTTAGTTCTTTCGGCCTTGACCCGTCCTCCATGGCCATAGGTGAGGGTAGGAACGGGGATGGACCGGTAGATCGAGAGCTTTGCCTTCCGGCCCGGCTCTCTTTTTGTCATCCGGAACCGGCTTCACACACGGTTGCAAACCGCCCCACTTAGAGCTGGAGGTCACCGACCCAAGATGTCATCAGGGCCGCATCATCTGCGACAAACAACGACGAGATCCGCAGCACCCCGGGCTGTAAACCTTCCACCCACAGACTACAACAAAACAATATGAAAGTAAAAAAAAAAATGAATTGTCCGTTTTATTGACTGATTTGGTTTATAGTTTGATCACTTTAGCTCCGCAGCCTTGTTTGACACAGCCAAGGCCACTTGTCATTGAGAATGTAAATGGGATCATGAATCAGGTTGTATCACTTCATCACTTCTGCTTCAATAAGACGTCTTATATCTCTTGAAATGTTACAAGAGGTGTGTTGCCTGCATCTGAACGATATCGGTTTTGTAAGTCATCTGCTCTTCTGTCCCTGTTTCTTGTGGGGGGAAAAGAATCCTCACAATAGCTTGACATTTGAAATCTCCCTTCCCCTCTTAGATATGGCTCCGCGAATACTGACAAGGGACTTTCAAGAGTATGCTGTGGTACGAGGAAAGGACGTAGTCATGAACTGCAGTGTTTTCAGCTCTCCACCACCCAACATCTCCTGGTGAGTGTTTATCAGCAACATCAGTTTTACGGGTCTTTCAGATGCTGTCAGCTCACTGCAACATGTGCGTTAAGACAGATGAACCTCAGGACTTTTTTTCAGGGTTCTTCTTTCAGCTTACATTTCTGTATCAGTACGTTCTGTGCAGTTTACAGATGTGAGCACTGACAGTAATGAATCACAGCAGTGAGTCATGTTGTTCATGCACACTGCTCCAGATTTTGACACCTATGTCTATTTAATTAGAAAAACGTCTCCTGTTCCTTCAAATAAGTGCAGCTTTGCTACAGTTCTACTAAAGGGAAACAGGATCTCTGGCAGTCATGACATTTTTTTAAACAACCATACGTCTTTGAGATGATATTTCACATTTTTTTAATGAACATTTTATCAAATCAAGTAAACCTCGAATGAAAATAACTATGCTTCATTTATCACGGTTAATTGGCTTTCTCTCCAAGGGTCAAAGATGAGACTCTAGAGATCGTCAAGGGGGAACGATTCTCGGATTTCGGCGGATCTTTAAAAATCTTCAGTGCCGAAAAAAGCGACAGCGGGAAATATTTGTGTGTTGCCTCTAACACGGAGGGAAATTCATCCGTCGCCGCTATCCTGGATGTGAAAGGTATTTCGCAACATCATTTGTGCTTTCTTAAAGCAAGTACCAGTGAAAAGGACACATTGTCTTTGTTTTGAAATGTTTCTACCTGCATCTATTCTACGCTTTTTTTTGGCACATAACAAAAAACGGTTAGACTCAAATAGTCAAAGTATGCAAGAGTTATTATTTATAATATTATTATCTTATCTGTAAACTTCTGTTTGTTGTTCTTTTGCCCCTTGCTTTTTTTGTCTTTAGACTCCACAAAAATAGTCCACCCGCCTCAGGATATGCGGATCATTAGTGGGACCACAGCCCAGTTGACGTGCCAGGCAGAGGTTGATAAAAGCCTCCGTGATGCCTTTGAAGTGGTTTGGAGGAAGGATGGTGAGGAGATCCCACTTTCCTCTGAGGAAAATCCCAGGTAGGTTGCTATGGGCTGATAGTGTTTCCATTAGTTTTCAGGTGTATTTCTGCTTTAGATGCCTTTGTTCTGTCTTTATCTTTATGCTAATGCTCGTGAAAGGAAAAAAAGCATGAAAAATCCCCAAAGCTTTGCCTTATCCTGCTCAGTAGAGGGTCAACAACAGGGGATTCTGGTAGTCTTTGGTCTGCTTAATGAATGTACTGATTGCCTCTGCCAAGGATGTTATGTATTTCATGCCCGGTTATGGTCCGCTATCAAAAAGAAAAGCCACAGTTTTAGTAACAGCTGTTGGAAAGTTCATTCAGGTCATCAAGTTCAGGTCATTGCACACATTTGATGCTGATCCTGATTAAGAAGAAGGAAATCAACAAGAGAATTGTGCAGCTTTGGCATATGGACTGTCTATGCCCACTGAGAACCTGATTTGATTGATATCACAGTTGTGTACTGACGATTGCTCTTACATGAACAGATTCTTTCATGTAAGCGATGGCATGCTACAGATCATGAGTGTGAACCTGGACGATCAGGGAAGCTACATGTGCATTGCCAGGACCATCCTAGACGAGGACAATGCCACTGCACTACTCACTGTACTGGGTAAGATGGTTTAGTACATAATATAGCAGACGGTGTAATTCATTAGTCATTATGGATTCTTTGAATTAAAAATGATGGATGTTTTGTCTGGATGTCATTTTGTGTGTTAATTTGACACTTAATTTTGTACATGTATACTGTGTTGCAGACGTTCCTGATGCTCCAAAAAACTTAGAGATTTTGGAACTAAAGAGTCAGAGAAATGTTTGCCTGTCTTGGGTACCTGGAAGTGACCACAACAGCTCTGTAACAGGTAGGAAGTTAATGCAGAAGAAGAAGGTCTGAGGTCTGAAAGAGGTGACAAATAAACAAATATACCACATTTTCAAGGAGTGACTGTACATCACAAATCACAATAACAGACTCTGCTGCTGCGCTAACTAAAGTTCTTTAGCAAGGGGTGGCTGTAAATAGTAGCAACGTCCTCAGGATCCTGGCATGGAAGCTTATGTCTCATTTATGCTTCAAAAAGGGACTCATTTCACTTTTGGAAGTTAGGATGATAGGAATTAACATCAAACGATAAATGTGTCCTTGTAGTGTCTTTTAGCTTGGAAGTTATCTACAATCACAAATTAGAATGGACGTGCCTTAAGAAGATCTTGGTATGATGAAATATGCATTAATGTGATTTTTTTTAAATTAAATATCTTCTCAGTTTTAAGGCTAGCTCTTTTTTAAGGAATGCTTTGGCTCAGCACCAGTTGTATGTGTGTTATAATATTTGTTTAATGTAATTAAACATCGACACAGCGTTACTAGAAGTAGAAGTTGACCTGGAGAATGTATTAAACAATGGCTGCTCCTTTACAGATTCAGAAGTTGGGCAGTAACAGTATTACATATTTTAATCATGTTTCTGGCAACCTGTCCAATATCCCCATAACTCAGCTTTTAGCTCTGTTTTTGGTCTCCACCATCTCCTGATTAAAAGCCAGCACGTCTGCTATTTGTTGCGGAACGTGTTACGTAGAACAAGGAGCCTAGCTTAACAGAATGGCTGGAAGCAATTAAGCCAACTAGTAAAACAACAAAAAACAACAAACATTACGCTAAAAACTTAGCTAACGTAATCAAGTAAGTAAGTGAAACACATGGTGGTGTAATGCATGCTTTCTCGTCAGTGATGACTGAACGTTTCTGTCTTGTCTCCTCCATGAGCACAGAATTCATAGTAGAGTATGAGGAAAGCCAATGGGAGCCCGGCAGGTGGAAGGAGCTAAAGAAAGTTGCCGGTAACCAGGCAACAGCCGAGGTTGCCCTGCAAGGAGACCTTAACTACCAGTTCAGAGTGTATGCTGTTAACGTTGTTGGACCCGGACCCCCCAGTGAGCCCACTGAAAGATACAAAACACCTCCTGCTGGTGAGGCTCGCTCCCTTTAATTAACATTGTTCTGCTGTGGAGATTTGTTGACTGGGAAAGCATAAAAAGTTTTAACAAATCTTTTTCAAGCATGCAGAGCGTTTGTGTGTGAAGAGGTAGGCCTTTAGACACGACACAGGATTTTGTAGCAGTAAGGAGTGCAGCTATTTTTTGGGTCTGAGATGTATTCGCTCCAGCACACGCTTCATCTTGGCTCTCATATGAACATACTAAAAGTATTAAATGAGAACTTGCATTATTACAATTGCAAATAGTTGTAGTTGTAGCAGATCCACCTGTACACATTATTCATATTACATGTTTCCATTTTTCAAAAATATTACATACAGTATAATTATACACCTTTTCTTCAAAGCTCCTGAAAAAAATCCTGAAAACATCAAAATTCAAGGCCCTCTCCCTCACCAATTGGACATTAGCTGGGAGGTAAGAGATAAAGCACATTGGTCTGTGAGATTGCACTCTGCAAACTATTACAGTATGGAAGCCAGATTTTGAAGTCATCAGTACTTCCATTCTTGTTGTAGCCGCTGTTGCCTATGGAGCATAATGGCCCAGGCCTTGAGTACAAGGTGAGCTACAGGAAGCTGGGCGTGGAAGATGTCTGGAAGGAGCATCTGGTCAAAAGGCACTCCTTTGTCGTGAGGAACACGTCCACCTTTATCCCCTTCGAGATCAAAATTCAGAGCAGGAACAGCCACGGCTGGGGACCGGATCCTAAAGTCGTTACTGGTTACTCTGGAGAGGACGGTGAGTTACAGACTTAATACTTGCTCCACTGCATGTGTTCACGTCGTAAATACACTTTCAACACGTGTTTATTTGCTTCAGCTCTGCTGTTTCATTAAAACTCCCCAGGCGGTACTGGCACATGGTACTGTTGTTTCACTTGTGACTTACTGTGTTATCGTATCTTACTGTCTTCAGCCATCTTTTGGCACTGTCTGCGGAAGAATGTGTCAGGTTAAGTTATTTCCTTTCTCGCCTCTTTTGCTCGTGGTTTTTTAACCCCGTGTGGTTGTGCTGTAGTGACTTTTCCTCCCCTATGAAAAGGAAAGAAAGAAATATCTTTTTTCTAAACCCAGCAGGTGGCAGATAACCTATTGTAGAGCAGATGGTAAGTCAAATTTCCACTTCTGTCTCAGAAGCCTCGGGAGATTTGACACATCACGTCACACTTCTCGGTGTAGACCTTTTGAAGCCCAGTGACCGTTTTCCCTCTTGCCGTCCTTCTCTTACCTCCACTTTACTTTTCAGTAGCACGTAGAGCAGAAAATATCGAGAGCTTTTTCGTCCCATAATTGGTGTTGTATTTGTCCCTACTGAAAATAAGAAAAAAAGACTTCCTCATTTGGAGTTTGTGATCGTGCCTGTATGTGCTGATCTACCAGCACCACTGTTTTCATCTACTGCTGAACCAAGCAGCGACCACGACCCGTTCCTCCTAAAACAGCTCCGACTATCAAATTAGGCTGTTTTTGTCTTACAGGATACTTCCCTTACCGTGCCCGCAAGCATTTTTTTCATTTTGTTTCCTTTCTTTATATATTTTTTGCTGTAGTGTTAAAAAGTTTTGGCAAAGGTAACCTGTTGTTTGCAATTTGTTCTTTACTCCTGACCTTCCTCGACGTGTGGTTTAGTCCCGACTGCAGCACCGCGGGACGTAGCAGTGGAGGTGATCAACACCACCGTCCTCAGAGTTAGCTGGACCCCGGCTCCACCTGCCACAGTGAGAGGTCATCTAGGAGGATACGATGTAAGTTTTAATATGGTCTTAGAAAAAACGGATTTCTTCCAGACTTTGTTGAAGTCTCTGAATGACATGAACACCCTAAACAGCACGTTTTCTTGACATGATCATTATTCTGGAGCTCATTTTAATAGATGCTTGCAGACGTCACCTCCTTTCACGGATCTGTCTTCAGTGTTACACAACCTCAACAATGAGATTTCTGCATGTACACACGGAGGCGTCTCCGTTTTGGGAGTAAGACGGTGACAACGTGATTGAAATGAGTTGGTACTTTTGTTTGAAGTGATTGGTAAAACAAAAAAAGAGCCATGTCTCAGATTCACAGTTCAAATACGATGCTTTATTTCTCACATCTGCCTCATTAAAAAGGAATGCCAGGAATGAATTGCCGCTCCTCAACGTTTTCTGTCTGTCTCTGTCTTTCTCTTCCTTCCATCCGCTGTGTGCAATCTGTTCAAATGTGTCCTTCATCCCCGTTTGCCATCATTTCCCTCTCACAGGTTCACTGGTTGAGGAAACGAAGTTGGTTGGAGCCCAACAAGATTTTGGATGACCGCAAAACACTTTCTTTCCCTGGGAAGAGGACTCTTGCCATCGTGCCGGGCCTTGAACCGTTCTCAGAGTACATGCTCACTGTCAATGTTTTCAACAAGAAGGGCAATGGGCCCAACAGTGATCCTGTCACCTTCAACACTCCAGAGGGAGGTGAGCCTTCATAATAACGCACACGCTGGACTATAACAAAAAATCCTCAAGCAGAAGGATAGAGCTGTAATGTGGTGGACATTGGAATTGACTCGGGAAATGAGAAGAACGAGAAAAGGAATTTACATGGGAGCACAAGAGACGAAATAAATAAAGACGAAAAACACATCATTTAACATCATCATTTAGTCATTTAACAAGAATCAAATCAAAATGTTGTAGGAAAAACAATACAATACAAAATACAACACAATTCAAAAGTATTTTTAAAGAAAGGAGTCATCAAAGGTGCATTTTCATGTTAATACCTCCAATGTGTTTTTCATCTGTGAAAAGAACACGGAATGAATATCCAGCTCGAAAAGACACTTTTATAAATCCTCAGTTATTTGGATATGACCGGAAAACAAACTGGCGCTTGGATACAATGTGTAATCACCCCCACATGAATAAGTTGCTCGAGAAAAACATGTGTATGCGGTGGAAACATTAACATCACGGCCTTTTTCACAGCTCCAGAGCAGGTGCCCATTCTGACTGCCTCCAACGCGCAGAAGGACTCCGTTTTGCTGGTGTGGGCCCCACCGCGGGAGACGAACGGCATCCTCACTGGTTATCTCCTGCAGCACCACCTCGGTACGTACACACACACACACACACACACACACGAGCGCGCTGGTGTTCGGCTAATTAGTCATTGACTTACACAGCGCAGACCTCTGGCCCTGTGTGAGGTTCTACATTAATGCACGTCTCCGTGCTGTAGCTCAGTGCGTGGGAGAAGTGTGAGTGTGTGAGAATAGATAGATGTAGAGAGGGAGGAAGGGTGGAGCTGGTGCATCTGGGATGTGACAGCTTATCGTTGAGTCTTCGTGTTCTATGGATAAACCTGAAAAGCACACGACACACACAATGATCTGCCCTTTTGCTGTCCTCTTTTGTGTTACCGTGCCAGACACTAGGTTGCACTGTTTAACACTGAAAGCTTCACAATGGTCTGCAACAGTCCAACTGGGCAATTCAGATTCCTTCCTCTGCGTTTCTTATCTGGTACCCTCCTGGACCGCATTTTCTCTGCCAAAAGGATCATTTGAGTCAGTGCGGTTTGTGCCTCTTATTCTCATTTATTTGGCATTCATCACCAAGAAGGATTTCATCTTGCAATGGAAAACACTCTTTATACTTGAGAACATTTAGAGTGAACAAGTGAGTGAGGGGCTTTTCATTGCGCACTGTTTTCAAAGCCTACACTCTCGTTGGCTGACATTTATGAAATCTTTTGTGTAAAATGTGAAAGCAGAGACCGCCCTTTGCCGCCTCCGCCAGCAACCCACGGAGTCTGGCCAGCACTTCAATACGCTCTGTCCACCTTTTCCTTTTTTCCTCCCGTATCAGATCAGACTTTACCATCATATTTCCACACAATGCAGCCTGTAGGTGTTGGAGGATTTGGGGTTTGAATTGATTCACCTTGTAATTCAGGCAGATCTCTGATTTTATTTTCATTTCAACTCTATTACGTGCTATTTGCTATACACATCCAGTTGAGTCATTGCAACCACTCTGTAATAACTCTGTTGATATTTAGCAGAAATACGCGACATCTATGAAATATTCCGACGCGGCATCACAGGCTCGGCACATATTCGGTTGTGTCCTGCGTTGGCACAGTAATGGCATAAACGTGGGGGGCGTTTCAGGATAAGTGTGACGCTTTCTACAGTCTGCACAAGCTATCTTGATCTACGATGCAAATCTGGTGACACACTATCACGCTGCGTGTGATTCCTGCTCCTCTGTTTTCCATCTACCGTGTCGCCCATGTTTATTGCTTGCTTTTGTTTTCTTTTTTCCCCCTGTGATTTTTCCCTTCCTTTTACACAAAGTCCTTTGAGCTTTTCCTTCATTATGTACACTAAGGTTTTTCTTCCTCCACCTTCCTCTTCTCGCTGATTGCCACTTGTTAACCCCCCCCCCCCCCACACACACACACTCTCTTGAGCTCTCTATCTGCGCCTTTCATCTCCCCTTCCCGTTTCCTCGGAATGTATTCCTCCCCGGGTCACCTGTCAAGACACGTATCAGCTACACTCACTTCCCGCCTGAGCTAGCATGACATCTCCTCATCTCCCCCTCCCTCAACCATTGACCCTCATTACAGTTGTGCACCATTAACATACAACGTGCGCCAGCGGTGAGGACCTCCACTGCGCGTGTGTGTGTGCGTGTGTCCGCCGGAGGCTCACTCATGCCTGGTGAACTGACCTGACATCTTTTCCCCCCTTCCTCTATAGGTAAAGAGACCACACTGGAGGTGGTTGTCTCCCAGGAGACAAACATCACTGGGGGCTGACACCACCCCAGTGCAAGCTCTGGGGTCTCGAGGAGGGAAAGCCTCTACCGCTTCCATCTCCAAAGCCTGCACCCGAGCCCGGTTGTGGGCCTCCACTGGCGCAGGAGAGCAGAACTCCACCTACTGCAGCATGTGGAGTGTTTTTTTTTACAGGGAAACTAGATGGGAGTTGACTGGACAATGTAATTATTCATAGAAAGTGGGAGTAATAGTGATTTAGAGTAGTTGTGCTGAGGGTGTCATCTGGGTGAGCTTGGCCTTTGTTTTTTACGTAAAGGTGGTGAAACAAACTTGTGCCGTATGGACAAATCTCTTTATTGGTAAAGAGTCGTTGTAGAACTTGTGCTTTTGGAGCTACGCCCACACTGTGTAAAAGGCAGTTTCATTCATCAACATATATAGAATAAGATGCTGGTCTTTCCATCAGTCTCTTTGCTACACATTCTTTCCTTTTTTTTTCTCAAAATGGTAATAGGATGTTTAAATTGTGCCCTTCTCACAAAGGAAGATGACAATGTAGCGATGGAACGAGCACAGCATAACATCAGGCTTGATTATTATAAGATGAGATACTAAGGCATCTAAGTGAAAAAGGTTCATGAGTCATGTTTCAAGCTGATGCTTTAAAAGGCTCAGTGTGATTGCTTCCCAAACTCCTTTGTGAATGCTTTCCAATAGTTTGCATATAAAAAGGTGCCTCTCCAGGATAAATGTAACCGTGGTTGAGAACATCTAAGGATTCAAGTGAACCTGAAGTCACATAAAACCACAGGGGGTCTGCAGTAGAGGCTGGTCCTAAAGCATTTAGAGCTTTCTATGCAAATTAGAGGACTTTCTCTTGGGCAGTTCTTAACCAATAGCGGGAGCTTTGTAGCCCGTCTAGAACTGGAGTGCTGTGCTTCCTCTTTATAGTTTTGTTTTGATGTTTAGCAGCAGAATTACGGATATTTTTATTGCCCCCTTAATGTCCTTTTTGAAGACATTTTAAATGTTAAAAAGGTTCTACTTGAGATAAAATAATGAATCACAATTTGTGGCATCTTGCTAGTATTGGAGTGCTTGTACCCTGGCAGTATTTATCACATTGTCTGAGATGTTGGCTTACGCACACGGTTGACTAGATGAGAGAATACTGTTTTGGCCACTGCTGATATAAAGGTTAGTTCATATTCAAAGACAAAGGACACTGATGTGGGGAACCAGACAGTCAAGACTCCTAAAGAGAGTGTCGCTTCAGTCACGAGGAGCCTTGTTTTCAGCCATAGATAGTTTTTGATTGCAGAAAAGCAGGATGTGAGTGGGATTAAGGCAGTTTGTTAATTTGGCTCTTCTGAAATCTATAATCATGTGCCATCTGCATAGCTGTGAAAATTGAAAAAAAAGATTACCACAACATGAATAGCTGTCATGATGTAAACATGCACAAAATGCATTTAAAACATTGCCAGAAAGACAATGACGTGAGCGTAGTTGTTAGTTGTTGTTAAATTTGTCATTTGGTGATCTTGATTTTATTTCTCCTCCACAACATTGATTCATCTCAGAAAGCTGTTGATTTTAAGATAATATTGTCAAAAACGTTTAAGAGAGAGGGTACGCCTGTCATTACTGAGAACCTTCATGTTTCACAGAACATCTGCAGTTTAATAAAAGCACAAAGGAAACCTCCATCTCGTGAATGCAGCTGAATTGAGAAAACTAATTATGTATTAATTAAGTATTATGATCAAGTTATAAAGAATATTTCATCAAGACTTGCCGGAGTTGTTAAACCTGCACACTAATTATTTAATTGTTTTTTTATATGCATTCAGGAAAAAGTTGAGTAATTGATTTGTAAAAGACATTTTGCGGGTGAAATTCCTCCTTAAAGATCTTTTAGGCAACATTTTACAAAAGAAGTGAATGCAAGGATTGTCATATTTCACTGCAACCCCTGCTTTGAATGGTTTGCACATTTTTCACTTATTGCAATCCATGGAAAGTGAATGTCAGAGGTTGGGACTCGTTTTAACAACTGATTCATCATACAAAACAACATGGTGCAACGTCCAGTCTTTTCTCTGATAATGTATACAGCTTTATTGTAAGTAGTTCCGGTCTTGTTATAAATTAAACATGGACCTCCAGTTCAGCTCCTCTGTATTTCCTGTCAGCGGCTCCACATGATTTCTTATGCAGTCGAATAGAGTTGATAAATCATGGGGATGTTCTGTCACACGGTCCTCTAATGACCTTGAGTCTTCATCAGGTTGTTGTTCAGGGTGTCATCCATTTCCGCCACAGGCCCGGTCTCACTGAGCAAATTAATGAGCTGATGAAATTCAGAGAATACAACCTCTGCTTTGGCATCTCTGATTATATTCAGAAAGTTAAAAAGTTCTAGTTAGCTGTACTCTATAGTTAGCTATAGTTTTGAACCACTACATGCTAAATCTTTTTTAGAAGCTTAAGTAGGTAAGACTAAAATCTATAGTGTCCATTGTATACGATCATAACATCATTTACGTTTTTTTTCATTGAATATTTGCTTTTGTTTTCAGAACAAAGCAAATGTGCTTATTTATGTGTATATATAGATATATATGTACACATATACAATATACATAGGACAACCTTTTTTAAAGAAAATTGGTACTTTTCTTAAATGTCTACATATAAATTAATAACAAAAAACATCTTTAGTGTTATTGCACACATTTCACATGATTACATAATTTACAGAAAAGTGCAAACAGATCAGGTTCATATCTGGTAAATAGTGTTTGCGCTTTTCTACTAGGGGGTGCCAAAGCCAAAAATTCAGTTTTTTGAATACATGCCTTTAGTGTGTGCTTTCTGTATCTTCCATTAAACAGAGAAATGCAGTGTTTTAGTTAAGTTCTTTGTTCGAACTTAATTCCCCCCTCAATTTAGCCAATACATTGCATTTTTAGCCCGAGGAGCAATTAGGGGTTAGGCGTGTTGCTCAGGGGCCCTTCGACACAGGGCAGCCAGGGCTCGTGCCACCGACCTTGTGGTTCCCAGAGCACCTGCTCTACCCCTGCGCCACGACGACCCTTGCATCATAAAAAGTGACAGAGGGTTCTAGAATTCACCAGATGTTTAAAGTTCCATTACTTATCGAGCCCCAAGAAATATGAGAAAATCTCTGCTTTGCTGTAATAAAAGTTATTAATTCCTCTCTGACTCTGATATTGCCTGTGAGGCTTGTTGTAGGCGGACGTCCAGCCTGAGAGCCATTAGAGGCATTGTTTGTGAATGTGGGTGAGTGGAGGCTCGGGTGGGGGAGAGGAAACGGTCCTCTTTTGGGGGGGAGGAGGGGGGAGGGGGGCTGTCCTCCGGGCCTGTTAGTCACAATGCAGCAGGCCAGATGGTGGATGTCAATTAGCACCAGCGCCAGGGGCACCATGCATTTAGACTTTGATGAGGAGTAATGGAGTAACGATGAAAGAAATGAATGCATTGAGTTAGTGCGCCTTTTGTATTCATATTTGTGCCAAGTGAGCTTTTAATGCTCATCCGCGTGGATGAACACTAGCTTAAAGAGGACAGAGACACAGGACACAGAGGTATCAGCCGACGTTTCTTTGTTTTAGAAGGCTTGTCATGAAAGGAGGGGCTGAGGTGAGTGACATACACTAATCCTAAAAGAAAGGGTGAAAAGAGGGAGCAAGGAAGACTGAGAGAGAACAGCTAATAGCCACAGCAAAAAATAAATCTATTTTTCTCCATCAGGTCTCTTGAGATAACAAGGCAGCAGAGCTAAAGCGGACTGCGGACAGGACAAAAGCACAGAGAAGAATGTACCTCTTAAGTCAGATGGAAATAGCCAGCTCCTTCAGAGATAATATTGTTTGCTTCATGGCGCAGAATTTGAAACCCATGTTGTCATCGCAGATACATCTGCTGATAGTTAGAACGTAATGTTTGAAAAGGTTGAGAGACATTTTGATCAAAGGCCGATTCATCTTCACTGAAATCCCTTTAGGATCCAGCGATCGGAGTGGAATAGTCTGCAGCAGCGCGTGGTGACCCGCACAGTTTGTCACACGCATTATATACGTCTGCAGTAACTCCGTATTCTCTGAATGAGTTCAGGTTAATCGGATCCAAAAAGTGTTTTTCTTGCTGTCATGTTAAACTATAAACCATTCAAGTTTGAATTGTATTGTACTGTTTTCCAGTCAGTACGCAAAATAACTTGTTGCATTTTGCAACCTCACTGCTGGATGACACCTAATCCTGATGTAATCTCAAGGGTTAAAAGGGCATTTCATCCAAATTTTTAATGTAAACCACTATAACCATATATTTTATGATAACAACTGACACTGTGAGCTCAGAGTAATTATCATCTAAATCTTAAGCTTAGTTTTAGTTAAACTATCTGGACTCTACATTTTTTGCTTAAAAGTAAAACTTAACTTAAAACTGAAATTTTACTGTCTTCCATCATCATTTGTACAGGTAACCAGGGATTCATGTAGAACCTGTTTTCTGGGCATCTTAAAAAAAACACACTGTACCAAAATCAGACACATTAGCTGAACTCAAGCGGTAATTTAATCTGTTAATCAGTTGACGCATGTTTAAAAAGTGATCATTTCAATTACACATTCGGAAACTATAGGAAACATGGGGAAATCCCCGCACAGCATTTTTAAGCGATAGCAATACTAGTAGTAAGCAATTGGAAAGAAGAGTGTGGCTTTCTGGTGGTGTAGCTACAAGCTACCAAATCTAAAACACCACTAGAAAAGCAGATCACTCTTGCAGGCATCCACCTGTGTGGGAATTTTTGCAGGGATGCAGCACCAAAATATTTGTGTGGGTGGATGTTCATGCATCTGTCTGTGTGTGTGTGTGTGTGTTTGCTGTTGTGCCTGGTCTATAAACCTTAAAGCTGGCTTTCCATATATGTCTATAATCTTCTGCTGTATTTCATTTTCTTTTTATCCCTCTGAAGATTTGTCACCGACTCCAGCTGTGGCCCCTGTTCAGAGCAGTATGTATCCAGCAGCTGCAGGACTTGCTAGCATAGAAGTAGTGGAGATAGACATGGTTGTAGGTGTTGTTCTTTTTATAGTTGTACAGATTTAGTTTCCTAACTAGCAGTTCAGGATCAAAGTCCCAAATGTGACAATTGTAGTTTAAATGTGCAATTTCCTTTTATTTTTTATGTGCACCCAAACCCAACTGCAGTAACGGTGTGTTTACTATCAGTCACAATTAACTTGTGCTGTTCCATTAATCCAGTTTTTCTGGTTGCTTCCACTTCCCTGCCTTTGTGTAGTCTGTAGAGCCTTCCTGTTTCGCAATATAGAGCATTAAACCTGACAGGAATCTAACATCTGAGGCTTCTCTCTCATTTCAGGCTACAATTGCTCTCTCTCCATTCCCATCTCTATCCCAGACAATTCCACTCATCCTTCTTTAGGTATAAAGCTCACACTTGCACATGTTGAGCAAACCTGTGATCTCATCTTCATGTACCTTCAACTTTCTGCTAACAATGGGACTCGAGACAATAGAGTTTCAATCTATTCTGATATTTGCGCAGGCCGGGGAGGCTTCGGGAAAATGCCAGTTTTGCTTAAGAGTGAGTGAAGACTAGATGTCACTCCCACCCACGATCTCTATATCTACCCTTTATGAGTCAAAATCCAGCTCGACTCAATTACCTGGGCCCAGTGCAGCCTTTTGAACTGTCTTCTTGAAGGGTTTCTCTCATGCAACAGGGAAACCTATTCACTTCTGCTAACCTCTTTTCCTGCGTTATTTCTCCCTTTCTCCGTGTCTCCGTATTCCTTTCCTCCTTATTTTCCACCTCCTATTTCTTCTCTTCACCAGTGCCGGCGCTGTTGAACATAAGCTCGTATGTGAGTGACACCTTTGCCAAAATCAGCTGGATTGCCGAGACAGAGCAGCAGGACTCTGAGCTTTATGTGGCTTATATGAATAACCGTAAGCTATAATCTTCTGTCCCCGCCCCGCTTAACAATGATAGCAATTGTAAGTGGCATCATGTCGTAGTTGCAACTGGGAAGATTTCATGTAAACATATGTAATAAGCCTTGCGTCTGCATGGCTACTTCCACGTTTTCATTGATTGCCTGAAAATATGTTCGTGTCTAATCATGTTTAAAATAACAAATACGTTTCATGACTTAAAATAACTTATTGCCGAGCTTTTCCTATCTTGATTTTTCTATAGCATGCATACTCATACAGACTTGCTGCTTGTGCACTTCTTGTGCTTGGCTGTGTAGGTGAAGGTAACTGGCTGGTATCGGAGGCTGTAAATGCTTCTCGAAGGTTCCACGTTATTGACGGGCTCAAACCTGGGACGGTGTACACCGTGCGCCTCATGGCCAAGCGGCTGGTCGATAACGCTAGCATTTTTGAAGATGTTATCCAGACCCGAGTCAAAGGTGAGCGGAGAATAGAATAGAGTTTTAGTGATTTGAGCTCTAACCTGCCATAAGAACACAAGCACAGCGTCGGGCGGTTGATATCGACCGTGGTCAAATGTGTGAGCTTATCTACTTTTCTCCCATCTTTTGCACGTGCATTTGTTCTTTCTTATCTGATATTATGTCATAAGAGACGGAATGTCATAGCCGAAGGGAATGTGTGTCAAATACGACGTGAGAACATCCTACTAGAATCCATCACTTTTCTTTTGGTTGTTGTTTTCAGTCAAAGATAAAGGTGTGTGTGGAGCGCTGAAGGGGACCAGCATACTCAAATAGACTTTCTGACTTCCTGTTCTTTTGTCCACAGCCACAGGAGCTCAACGGAGCAACTTTTTGACCCATGGCTGGTTCATTGGGACCATGTGTGCCGTGGCGCTCCTCACCCTCGTCGCACTCATGGCCTGCTTTGTGCGGCGAAACCAAGGTGGCAAGTATGCAGGTACGCCGCCGCCTTCGTCGACCCAGAGACAAGACATGTTCTCCATGGAAAAAGGTCAGTTACTGTTTGACCAGGTTTGCGTCTCCCTACCCCCCTTGGACACCTCGCTTTGGGAATTGAACCAAAATGTTTGGAAAGGCGTCACGGACCACTCATGCTGCAGCTGCCGTGTCAAATATCATCAAAGTCCCAAATACGCCGTCCACGAGAAGCCTCCTGCATTGTTAAATATTTCTTGTGGCCCCCGTTAGCTCCGCCCGCTACGTCTGATTATACACCATGTCAAGCCAGACGAGTGGGAGCCAGCTGGCTTTGTTTCACACCTTTCCAACCTGTGCAGAACCTCCTTGCTCTTCCCCTGCACCTTCCGTGCTGTCATGTATCAGAGCCAAATGCAATCTCACTATGGTTCCTACAGAACCTGCAAAGTGTCTCCTCTCTCACTCTTTCCTCTCAACCCACTTTGCCACCTTCTCCCCACCGCTCCGCCTTTTTGCCTGCAGTCGATTTTGACATGAAGCACTGAATATTTCATCAGCTCCTTTGGACCCCCCTCCCCCCCTTTGCCCATCCAGCTCTTTTCATGAAACCCCTCTTTTGTCTCTCTTGAAAGCAAGTATTTTTTAAAGCATATTTACACAAAGAGCAGCTGTGTAGCAGTTTGAGGCCGATGAACAGAAGAGAGACTTCCAGTGTGCAGACTTGATATAATGTTTACACAGTCATATTTAGTCTATAAACGCTTTTCCCATTTATACTCAAGTGATGAAAAAGTTTGTAGCGTTTTTTCTTGGACTGAAAATCACTGTGGTTGATTAAAACTAACAAAAGGCGGATGCTGCTGTTTGAGTTATTTCCCTTTGGGAAATGTTAAAGACACAAGCCTTTAAAGTTATTTGAAGCAATACAAACGAGATTACCTGTATGTGCGCACGGTAAAAGTAATAAGAAATCACTTCTATGGAATGAAAGTGCTGTTTTTTTGACATTGGTGCTGAAACGTCTGTCCCGCCCTTCCTCCGCAGTGAAAGAGAGGGAGGACCGACACTGTGATGTGGAGTCACAAGGAATGAACGATGACACCTTCTGTGAATACAGGTGAGCTGTGCTCGTGCTCTGCAGGGGAGAGCTGCAGTGCCAAAGTGTGAAATTTTCATGTTTCATTTCCTGCAAACACATTGTGCTGCAGCAATTAATCCAACAACCGTACCTGAAATGCTTTCTAGCTGAGAAAGGAATTCATCATGTGTCAAAGTAATGTTTTCTCCCCCATCCCAAAAGCAAACCACACGTTCACGATCTTTCTCTGGATCAGCCAAGAAGCCATTGCTCTCATCATTTAATTGGCTAGGTAATTATATGGTGTAGTTAAGGGTTGCAGGTAAAAAAAAAACACTTGAGCTTTGCCCCCCTTTAGTTAGAATGATGTCCTTTTAGGTGTGATTCGGCTTAGTCCAGTAGGTGTAAATATATGTAGATGTATATTTGTACATTGGTGAGTGTTTTTGTCTGTGTGTGTGTGTGTGTGTGTGTGTGTGTGTGTGTGTGTGTGTGTGTGTGTGTGTGTGTATATATATATATACAGCTCTTTAAACCCCTGATTCCCTGTGTGACCTCAACCTGTATGCCTTGTGAGATCTGATGGGCACATTTTTCATTTTCACTGGAGACATGCAGATTGATCGTAAGGGTCTAGTCAATCCTGACCAATATGAAAAGTATCTTGCACTTGTTGAAACAGGCATAAACCATGCATGGTAAATGAGCTATAAAACAGAGCCTTTAAGCCCAAAGTAGTCGGCTGTTGTACTTTTGTAAAGCTGTTGAATTTTACATTGTTTGCATTGTTCAGCCGGTGACAGTTTAGGGAAATTGACTGAATCCCATCTTGTCTGACAGCATTGCAACTGTGTGACAATGGCGTGTGTTTGTACACACCCAGCAGGAAACTCCTAAAATAGCCTCTTCTGTCTGCTTTGATTATGCCCGTCATCATATTATTTAGGACATGATCACTCACAACTGTGTGAATGCCGCCAAATGCATTTTTATGATTCTATTCCAGAATTCTGTTGAAGACGCAATGCACTGTTGACACAGTCCTGTTCATAGATTATGTGGCTTAAATACGTAATTACGCATTTTTTACATCCCCATGCCTTCAAATGACTTTATATAATATATAATAGTACATCATATGATATATGATCAATATCATTGGCCTAAGTATAGTTTTCTACGAGGTTTAACACTGTTGGGAAAAGTACCAAGTAATGCCAGCGTGAATCAAAATGATCACACATCAACTCTCAGTCAAGTTGGTCCATAATTGTGTGATTATTCTGTCTTATAGTGATACAAAACTGCATTGCCAAAAAATGAATAGATATTGTGTTGTTGGCCTAAGCTCCGGGTCTCATGAGGCAGAAGATGCAAATGTTTGGCTGGTTGGTTTCATGAGGCCTTCCAAACGACTGCCCCCTCAAAACCCCCCAGAGCCCCCCCCAGAGCGCCCTTGCTGTGTCGTTGTTGTCCCAGTTCTCTTGGCCCGTTGAATCTTTAACGGCAATAGGCCGCCCACCGGTATGCCACGTGTCTCGAGGGCTGACAAGTGGTAATTATGCTTCAGGCAATCTCTCTTTGGAGACGGCCCTCTGCTGTCTTGCCTCTGTGTCCACTGGTAGAGCTGGAGCAGCCTGTGATCCATCTTATTTTTTTGCAGAGCTATTTTCATCGGGGTTTTTTTTTTTTCATTTTGCAACTCTTTTCTCATCCTAGCTCTCACCCCCCCTCCATTTGCATATGTGCTGTTGGGGAGAAAGGAAGCAGATGTGGAGAAGTTTTACTTCACACTTTTAACACAAAATAAATACAGCTGCAGGTGCAACGGGAGAAGAAAGATCCTCTTTGCACCTGAGGATTCTCTGCTACCCTGAAACTCAAGTCAGCATGGGTCAACGGCAAGACAAATTTGATTACGCTCTGCACAGGTGATGCGCCCCCCTCACCCCCCGTCCCTCACCTGTTTGCGAGGCTCAAGAAAAGGAACAACTGAGGCTGAACGGGATCCAGACCGGCTATCTGAGTGAGAGCCGGGGCTCAATAGCACTCAGCCCCGTTTCGTCACTTCATTCACTGTGGGCGGCTGGCGGCGGGGGGGCACGCGGCATTCCAATGCAGCCACTTATCTCTCGACGCTTTCGGAGTCGTCGGAGAAAGAACGTTTGATAAGAGTTGAAATGCAGAACCGATAAGGCCTGCATGGTAAACGGCATCGCGGAACAGTGTAGATACGATTGGTTATTAAAAGTCCCCGTGAAGGAGACTCCATATGTAATCTTGCCTTTCAACCATGTCTCTGCTCTCAACTGCTGCTCAATATGTCGAGGTTGTATTTGACAAAGGTGTATGCTACAGTGTGCCCAAATGAAATCATATAATCACATACCAGCCAGCGCGCGGCGCCGGTGAATGCAGACATGAATATGTTATGAATACAAGCTGAAGGAGAGAGAGAGAGAGAGAGAGAGAGAGGCGCGTTACCAAACATTGGATGGTTTGGGAATTAGAAAAGCGGACGGGGAGGAAAAATATCCTCAATGTTTTGAGGTGACCCTGCGTCTCGCAGTGAGACACCTGCGAGTTGGCCGGCTGCCCGGGCCTTAAATTGGCATCTAATCTCCGCGGCCTGCGTGTGGGCCTCTGAGAATACCAGGAATGACAGGCTGTTTGTCTGGGATTGCATACGCCCCACCCCTGCCCCCTTTTTCCCTTTCTCAATCTCACCGCCACACCACCTCCTCCACGGAACACACATGCGCACAAACACACACACACACACACACACACACACACAACTCCCACTCTTCTTCTTTCTCTCTGCACTCTGGCAATTTCCATTGCTGCTTCTAAAGAGATTTGAAATTGCCTTTGGTCTTGAAGCCCTGGCAATTAGCAATTAGTGGAGTGATTGTAGCGAGCCCTCCCCGCCTGCCTTGTGCTGCCTTCTCTGCTGTGCAGCCGTGTAGAGATGTACAAGAACCCTGAGAAGCATTCACTTAGTGACTTGGAACATGTTTGTGTGTTAGTGCAGCCAAGCACATAGTAGTCTATATGTACTGCACAGGCTCTGTATGGTTGCTTGTGCTGCTGTATGCCGGTGCGTTAGCCTCTCGGTGCCACGGCTGTTGCTTTATACAAGTTGCACGTATGCACAGCTGACCCTGATCATCCCTCTTTGTTGGTCGGTTGCAGTGACGGCGAGGAGAAGCCGCTAAAGGGCGGTAGCTTGCTATCCCTGACCGGAGATGAAGCGCTGGGGGACAGCGTCAGCAGAGACAGCATGGCTGACTACGGCAACGTCGGGCGAGAATTCAACGAGGACGGTTCATTTATCGGAGAGTATTCTGGATTCACGCACAGAGGCTCTGTCAGCGAGCCCAGCGGACCCCAACCAGTCACTGCATGAAGCCAGGCGCCGGTCCAAGCGGTCGACTACAAATATTTTCAAGATACTTTTTAAAATGTAGCTTCCGTGGGATTAAATACAGCACAAATGGCCATATATGGGGGGGCTGAAAATGACTCAATGGGCAGACGTTCTGTCCAGGGATCGGAGAGAAAGGAATACATCCAGTACACAAATCCTGTTGGAAAAACAATTCCAAGTCTTTGTACATATTGTAAGAGAATGACCTGTATCATTTGAGTTTTTCAAGATTTCTTTTAATTATAATAAAGTTTTGTACCTTTTTATGCCACAATCTTCAGCCGTGTATGTTGATTACCATCTTGCATCTACAGCGGGTCTTAAAGCACATTAGAACCAATGTATAGTCACAAATGCTTAAGTGTTATGGGTTATTCATGTATGTGTGTCTAACTTTTTTTTTATTATGCAAATATGTGGATTATATTCAAAATATTGACAATAAATCACATATATTTTAGTTTAGAATTTCTTTTTACAAACCTGAAATCTACAATAACAAAAAAAAACGATTTCTACCTTTTTTTAACAATAGAAGTATTGCTGTATTTATATCTGGAGTGGAATCAAACATTTAGCGAAAACTCAAATTGGTGAGCTTTCACCTTAAGGCCTCATTAAGGTAGATGACATTTTGAACCTACAGCGATTCATCATACTTCTGTTTGTTTGTTTTCATCATCTAACCTTGTCCTGCTGGATGGGACAGTTTTTAATCACTCTACTTTCCTTTTAAATGATCAGGCAGCTACGATATTTATTATCTGGAAATTACTATGGGTACTTCCTTCACAGTTTGTATTTAATTTGATTTGTAGGTGTCTTTTTTGCTGCTCGTTTTCTGTAATTAAAAAAGCATCCTCATGGGTTCATTTCAAAATTAAGATGTCCTTTCACTAAACATGAAATGTGAAACAAATTCATTCAGAGGTACTTAGCTATTTACACAATTATACATCAAAATTGTATCATAAAACAAGCACAACGCATTATATTAATGATACAAATGTGGCTGAATTAAACTTTATGTTCTCAAAGGTCAAACACATTTGGAATTTCCTAACTATATTTCCAGTATCTCCGCAATGCATTCATTAAATCCCGATATGCATAATGAATGCAGCTTAAATATTCATCAAGGATGTAGGTGAAGTTGAGTTTTGGTCAATTCAACCATTACTTAACAAAGGTCACATGGAAGAAAGTTCAGCTATGAAATATAGTCAACATTTGTGGTCAATCTCTTTCCTATTACTTAGTTCGGATGATTGGTTCCAGGTCCCATGGCTCCAATTATCTGAAACAAAGCGGTGTTCTCTCCCCTCTTCTTTTTTTCTGAGGGTAAAACATATCACCTTTGATGAGACGAAAGCCCCACTTAAAAAGATGGTAGATGATCGACACATCCATCATTTGGTGAGAGCCTCTATAGCAGCCCAACTTCCCCTCGGATTTGCTTCATTACTTTTGTGCCTTTTCAATAAAAAACAAATCAGTTTGTCTCAAAAATTACAAAACAAACCATAAACTGAACAACTGCGACTGAAACAAAACATTTCAATTAATCATACATATTCAAAGGCACAGAAAGACACAGTTACGGAATGTCCTCGGGCACAGTCTTAAAGGACATATTGCTAAATCCAACATTGCTCTTTTAATTTGATTCCAGCTTCCCCTCGGTCAAATCTTCTCACTTCGGTCACTTTTTGCATATCTCTGAAATACCTTGGAGGCCCTTATTTCTCGTTTTCAATAGACAGCCTCTTGCAGCTGTACAGTGTGTCTACAGCCTGGCGATTATAAAATGGGTATTGTTTCTGTAATCAAAAGGGAATTGGGATAGTGAAGCTGAAAAGCACTCCATGCCTCATGGCAAGATAAAGGTCATTTTAAGAGATAATCTTGATATGTCGAGAGATAATGCCCTCATCCGTTTTTAAAATGCTTCCTCCGTGAAACGCTAAAACCTCTAAACAACAACAAAGATTACTTTGGTCAGAACCCCCTTGAGTGTCCCACATGCAGCTTTTTTTTGCTCTGATAAATCTGTTTGGAGGACATGCAGGTGACTGCTTCATAAAACTCGTTGTAGCCCTGTTTTGGAGCAAGCAAAGGTCGCGACGCTTACGTCACTTGGGCTCGCGTTCGACGCCTGTTGTGCGGTGTTTTGCTCGACTTATTGCTGCACACTCGCACGCAAACTCTCAATCAAGCACAAAGCGGCTCAGTCCCTTTCAGTCAGTTTGATCAGAGCTGATATTTAGGCTAAGTACCCTGGAAATTGCCTGGCGGGGAAAAAAATCAATAGACAACTGACAAAAGCTGTGAGTTCAGCAGCCACTCAGCATTGCATCAAGCCAACTGACGACGCGGCGAGGTCGGGACGCGGCCAAAAGCTGCAGCACGCAGACAGACTGGAACCACCCGACAGAGAACGGCATGAAGATCTCATTCATAATGAAAGCCGTCGGGTTCACAGAAAGGGGAACTGTGACAAGTGTTTTTTAAGGACATTTCTGTTGAAGACCTGGCTTTTCTTGGGGGGGGGGGGTTGGAGTTAAAGCATTTACAGTGACATCCGCATCAGGAGGGAAACCAACGTCATGGTTCCCGCCTTCTTAACGGGACAAACTGCCCATTCAGAGCGACACAAGCCAACCTTTTTAGCAATGAGCTTTGAGCACTTTACACGAGAAAAGGGGTTAAGGGTGGTTGGAGGAACGAGGAGTCGACTGCAGGCTCCTCATTGAAACGTGTTTCGGAAACATTTTAGAATAAGAAAAGAAACTCGGAAAGACGACCCGCGACCTTGTCTCACTTTCAGATATTTTATAATTCCTCCAACAGCCTTTACTCTTTGTCTGTCATTTTTAAAGGGTTTGTGGGTTCATTGGTGGCTCGCCTTTTTATTAAAGGCCAAGGCAGACAAATAACAAAAAGACAAAGCCATTGAGCGAGACATCAAAGACACATATTCAAGAAGCTGCTACAAGGAAAAGTTTAAAATGCATTTAGCCTCTTTCACTAAATCTTCCAAAACTTTGTATTTGGTTCAAATCTAGAATAATTCTGATTGCGCGAGTACATGAAATCAAAGTTCCACGAGGGACAGAAACACCCAGAATCCCTCCCTTCCTATTTCAGGTCCCAGCATGCACTGGATCCTGCTCATTCTTTTGTCATCCCAACCCGGTGTGGCGCTCACCTTCTGTTAAAATTGAATTTGTCTCCCTCGGATGGAAATGGAATGGGATGCTTTCGCATACAGAGAACCCTCACAGAGGGTAAACTGCTTTAGATGCAAGCCCAGGCGCTCTGTAATGCCAGCCAGCACTTGGGCGGACGTTGTGCACGTGTGTGTGTGTGTGTGTGTGTCTGTCCGACAGAGAGAGAGAAAGAGAGAGAGAGAGAGAGAGGGTGCCGGGCGAGCAGGAGGAGGCGCGGACACTCAGCCATGGCAGAAACTAATGAGACATGCATCGGTAATATGATTACAAAGTCAGCCCGACTGTGTCAGGGATCAGGGGGACGCTTTGGAGACGCCGGCACAGGACAAAGTGGACACTGGGATGTTCCGTTGCACTGCGTTTGCATTACATTACTCGGCCCGTAAGTGAACGGCAGCCTCTGCCGATGGTGGAATGGATGCTTATGCTGTTATGACAACACTTACATCAACAAAATGGAGTTTCAATGGAATGCTGATTTGAAACGTGTGCGTATCATTAAGAAACGCAGTCTGGTCCCCTTTAGGTGACATATCCTTAGTTTGAGCCCGCAAAGCATTTCATGAGGCTAGAGGATTAGATTAGAGACTTGTAAGTGTTGTGTGGGTGGAAATAATTCTCACCTTCCTTTTTTAGCACAGGCTGACAAAAGCAACAACTTGGCACAAACAACGTTTGTACGCGAGTCGGCCCCCAGGTCCCTGCGACAGAGGCACGGGAATCCGTTGACATCCTTAACTTGCACATGGGTAAGGGAACACAACCAGAAATGAATTTCCTACTTGTTCATACGCTGTGATTTGTAGTGCATCAAAAACCTTTGTTGATTAACATTTCAATTTTCAATAAGTGCCGCAGAATTTGTTGCTTTTGTTCTTGTTCTTTGTAGTCAGTAATCAGACTCCGGTATTGTACAGGCAACCTATTACCGCCCCCCCCCTCCGAAAAAGACAAAGTGAGTTTGAAAAATGACCCTCATATCCATTTTTTGTCTTATTAAAGTACAAAAGGCTGGCGGCAGCAAGAGGGAAGTGGACACACAGACTAAATGCATCTCCTGTGCCTCCCCAACTAATACGATGGCTTGTTTCAGTTTGCGGATGTTTTTTAATGAGCCAGTGATGAGCAGCCTTGGATATCAAACAGGGGAGAGACACCACAGTGTCAAATTTTATTTTTCCAAAGCAATTCCTTTTCAATGAATTTGTTCCTGTGCTGCGTTTCTTGTGGAGCACAACTGCTGAATTATTCATGCGCCTTTATTAAAACACCCCCCCATTTGCATTACACACGGGGCCCCAAAAGATGCATTAGGGTGTTGTATCCTAGTGTACATGTCAAATAATTTAACACAGAACCGGACCACCCGTTAGCCCAAAGGCCACAAAGTCAATCAAGTGAGGTAAAGCTTTGGTGTTGTGATTCATCACAATAAATATTTTTGATGGAGACAATGAGTGTGGTTTGTTAAATGCGGGTTTCCAGATGTTTCCACAGAGCGATTTTTAGTTACATTTGTATTTCTGTCACACCACTCCTACACCGATTCTATTTTAAATGCTTTCTCAGTTGCGGCAATCAGACTAATGAGCCCAGATTGATTGATAAAAGCCGTATTGGAAAGACAGATGTGAGCACCCACCTCTGTGTCCAAAACACAGCTACAGCTGAACATCATCAATACTGGTGGGCCCCTACTGGGTGTATGCACCTGCTACACACACACACACACACACACACACACACACACACACACAAAGAACCAGTTTTTGAGAAAAAGCAAAAGTCACCTGTTTGTAGCTGTATTGTACACTCATTCCATACGTATCTTTTAAAAGTTTTAAGGGTTAACGCGGTTTTACGCGGCAGGCTGTGAAACTTCATGTCTGTGTAGGTGAGATGCGCTTAGCGCGGCACCCAAATGTAACAGGTTTACATCAGCATATGTGTGAACACGTTTTGGACTGTAACGCTGAGAGGCACAATGTGTTGATGTAGTGTTATGCTGGTCATGCAGTCGCGTGAAGTAGTGCACTCGAAAAAACAAGATAACGGACTAGAATAACTTATTTCAAATTGTGTGTGTTTTTCTGTTTTAGCTGACCTTGTAAATCTCCTCATTCTGGCTGTCATGGGTTTTTGTCCCACATTTCATGGAAATCCATTCAATAGTGACAAAGTTGACAAAGTTGTCAGACTGGTCGTTCTCTGACTTCTGAGGAAAACTTTCCCCTGCAGTGTGACCGCATCCATGTTTCTTCTCTTTCTTCTTCTTCTTCCCCGAGCATTCTTTCTTTGACTGTTTTTAAAGCAGACATTTTACAGCCATGGGCAACACTAAATGTGCTTTTCTGAGGTTTTAATGATCTCCCTCAATTTTGTAGTCCTTTCTACGTCCCATTGTGTTGCAAAGGGGTGAGCGGGAGTAATGGATGAAAATGGTAAGTACAACCGGTGCAATAGGCGTCATTTGGCCAGACGTAATGACACAATCAACTCTTAAATCCCGCTGGAACACTAACATTAAAGCCTGCATATCTGGTTCTTTCAATTCCACTCAAAACGGACTAATTACTGTAATGGCTTTGTCCCGCTCTACTCCATGAACATACTTGATCTCTTCGCATGGTGTCTGCCATTACTGCTGAGGAATC